GGTCTAATTATGACACTTGACGGTTTCGATAGATCATTGTCTCGTCAGTAATGTTCGTCCTCTGAAGACGACTTCTTTACAGTATTCGGGTCAACCGATCACTTTAAACTCTGGTCGACTCGGAAGTGGAAAAGCTCGATATTTGCAGCTTGGCCAGTTCCGGACTGGTTTAGAAAACTTGTTATTTGTATATTGATCTAATACGTATTTTCATCCCTTTATTTTGCCACGTGTCGTGTTTTTATTAATCGTGGTCAAATTGGGTATCAACAAGAGACCCTCGAGTTTAGGACATGCTCTGAACATAACTGTTGCGAAGTCGCATTATTTTACAATTTGACATAATTTTCGCCTGTAATCTTTTGAATTTCGGGTTCTTTGTTTGGATGGATTTTGTAAGAGGGGAGGTGAAGGAAAATGATTAACCTTGTTTGGTTAGAAGATGGAAGGGGAGGGAAAATAATGTTAGAATGACAAATATATCATTAATGATGTAAGGAACAAAAAAAAAAAAAAATAATTCACAGTAAGGTCAAAAAGAGTGATTTGTTGTTAAAATTTTTCCCCCCCCTCCAAATTCCCTCACTTTTGGAGGGGAGCACATTTTCCCTTGGAGGAGGGAATTGAAGGGAAAATTTAAACCCCTCCCCCTTACAAAAAGTTGAACCAAACAAGGGGAAATAAAATTTTCCCTCCCCTCCCTTCCCCTCCTCTCTTTTTCCCCCGAACCAAACATAGGCTAAATAATGCTCCCAATATGAAATTATTTTAGATCTATCACTGCAATTATCTTTCCAATGGAACTTCTATTGAATTTTTGCATAAAACCAATGACAATTTTTTCAACGATTAAAATATGGTCCAAAAAAAATCAATAGAAATTCATGTAATTGAAATCTTTGAATACACTAAAGTTCATGTAATTTAATTTGAACACTAATGGAATAGCCAATGAAATTTCCAATGAAAGCAATATATTCGTGGGAATTTTCAGTAGAATACATTATCGCTGAGTTTTTCGTTGCAGTATAGCAATTTTTTGTAGTCCTCTCAAACATTATTTTTTATGTAGTATTTATTGAGTAATTTTGATTACAATTTTTCTATTAAAAATATATTAAACACGTGAACCTTTTAGTTCCTATATTTTTTTTTTCAGAAATCACTCATTATTTTATTTCAATATTACCTATTAATTTACCAATTGAGTTACATTCTTACATATTAAATATTATTTAATTAAAATAGTTCTTGTTTTATATGTTCAATATGATACTTATATATTATATTAAAAAAACTAATAAAGTAAATAAAAAAATTATTTAGAATTAGAATAATAAATATTTTTTTTTTCTAATCTACATGGATAAATGTACAAATTATTATTGTCTTATCACCTCAAATTAACACATAAAATTAATAAGAACAAAAAATTAACAAACGTTTAACAACTCAGTTCAATTACATCGATAAGTATATTTTTAGAAGGTTTATATTTAGTTATATTAATTATATTATTTTTGTTTATTAGTTTGTTTTATATTTATTAGTACGTGTCACAACTTAATTATTATTCATATTATTTCTTATATTTCATATTTTTTTAAAAATTTTATCTTTTTCTTTCACATGTTCTTAACTGATAAAAGTATAAATAACTGACGTCTATCATCTAAAATTTATATACAGAACTACTAAACGCAAAAAATTAAAAAAAAATTAAAAGTTCTATAATTACTTTACTAATTATAATATTTTTATTTATTACTTTTTTTCATAGTTATTAGTAAGTGTTATAACTTTATTTTAAATTTAATATTATTTATCAGATTTAATTTTTTACTTTATATTGTTCTTTCATATGTTTTTAATGTGCGTGTGTGTTTGTGGGTAACTTTTCGGTTTTTTTAAAAATATATAAAATTAAGTATAGCACTTTTTAGGTCATATGTCTTATTTATATCAATTAATTTTACATTTTTATATTATTTTATTAATTAATAATATAAGATCTGATGGCATTAGTATATTACCAATTTGCCATTAAAAACATATTAAAGTAAGATTTTTTTAGGTAGTTCATTTTTAATTAAAAATATAAATAAAATATGATGTGTATTAGTATAATACTAATTTGCCATAAAATTTATGTCAAAGTAAGGGTGTTTTAGGCATTATGAATTTTTACAAAAACACTCCTCCTTTTAGAGTAATATAGATATAGATAGATATAGATGAGACTCGAAAGCTAACTAGCCTTACAAATCCACCACGGATGTGGACCTAAAAAGGAGTGTTAACCGAAGCATCCTGTACTAGAACCTCTTTATCTTATCAGAGTTTACTGAAAGGATGCATGTTGAGATGTAATCTCCGGGTGCTTTGGGGACTCTTGGACGTTTTGATCATTTTTAGTCCTTGGCCTGACGTATTTGTGTTAGTTGAGCTCTCATGCATTTTGACGAGTTTGAGCAGTAAAGTGGATGGGCGATTCTTTGGAATTGCTATTGAATAGGGCCTGGGTGACTT